GGCAAGCCCCCTCCCCCTAAAGAAAAAACCCTTAAAAAAAAAAAAAAAAAAAAAAAAGCCTAGAAGTCTTATCTGTTTTTTACTCATAACCCTGTGATGGTGTCTCATCCTCAGAGGAAAAGCCAAGGAGCTTAGCGTGGTCTACAGAGCTCCCCTGTTACCTCTCTGTGCTCTGTCCCTGTCCCCGTCCCTCTCCCTGCTCCGGTCTCACTGGCCTGCTTTCTGTCCCTCACACACACTGGCCACATTCCCAGGCTGTGTCCTTGCTAGTGGTTCTTCCTTCAGCTTGGAAATGCCCTTTCTGTGGTACGTGCTTGACTAACCTTCCTACTTTTTTCAGACCTTTGTTCATAGCTCTCCTCTAAGTCTTAATAAGACTTTCTTTCTTCCTTCCTTCCTTCCTTTCTTCCTTCCTTCCTTCCTTCCTTCTTCTTGCTATAGGATGCATGCACTCACAGGAGAGAGACAATGATGTATGCACATGTACTTCGTCCCCTGGGAATCAGATGCATGCTGCAATCCCTTCTCCATTCACCTACTAGGATTTTGGGCATGTATGCACATGTACTTAGTGTGATTTTCAAGACTCCAAGTCTAGGACTCAAACCGTGGTTGGCTATGTGGGAATCCAGCACCTTACCCACCATGCCACCATCTGGCTCCCCAATTACCCTGTTTAAAACTGCACCCTTCAGGGGTGGACCTGACAGCTTGCTTTCTCACTTTCCCTCTTTTCCTGTCTCTCACTGTCCCTTGCTGGTCAAATTAAATCGAAATAAATAGAGTTAAATAAAAAAATAAGTCTTTAAAAAAAGAAAAAGAAACTGCACCCTTCCTACCTCGTCTACCACTAACCTCCACTCCTGCTATAGTTTTTTCCTCCACAGCTCTTAGGACTTTCTAATTACTGTAGTCTTATTTACTTATTGTGTTATTGCTTATTGTTTATTTCCATCTGCTGTTCCATTATAGCAAAGATATTTGTTGTCATTCACTTATGTACACCATGTACCTGGAATGGTGTCTGGCACATAGTACCTTTTTAATAAACATGTCGATTTCAATTCTTTCTTCCTTTCCTTCTCTTCCTTTTTCTTTCTCTCTTTTTGGTATGAGAGCATATATAGGAGGGAGAGGGCATGGTAGAGAAAAAGAGACAGGTATTTGACAGTGTCTTGCTGTATTATAGTCCCCCAGGGTCCCGTTAGCTAGGCCCACAGGCATGGCACTGCCTGTTTAAGCCGGGCCGGGAACCACAGCTGGGCCCCCACGTGGCCTCAGCCATTGTCTAGCGGTGCTCTGTTGCCTGCGCCGCTGCAGCTGGCTCTGAGTACTCGTGTCATTCGTAAGTGCGGTCGGTTACCAAGCCTTGTGTGTCCTCCTGGGTAGCTTTGAGATCGTTCCACACCCCATTGCTGCCCCACCACCTGTCCTGCGGTGCTGTCTGCTACGTTTCATTTGCTGCTGTTAAATTTGTTATGACTGTCTGTTATGTTTCATTTGCTCTCTCGCAGTTGTCTCCTAGTTAGGGTATCTGCAGTCACTGAAATTTGTTCTTTACAGTACATCTAGAGTAATTTTCTTTAAAAAATAGGGTCTTTCGGGCCAACAGGTAGCCTGGAGGTTAAGGGGCTGGATCCCACATAGTCGACTGTGGAGTTTGAGTCCCAAACGTGATGGCTCGGAGAATCACACTGGGTATATGTGTGTGCCTCAAATCCTAAAGAGACTGGAAGAGGAGGAATTTTTCACTTTCTCTTTCTCTCTGTCTGGTGAGTGCACACACCCTATAGCAAAAAAAAAAAAAAAAAAATGAAGAAGAAGAAGAAGAAGAAGAAGAAGAAAATGAGACGACCTTTCTGTGTCGCAGTGCTTTTGCCTCAGCGTCCTCAGTAGCTGGGACTATGAACGTGGTATATGCCATTGCTCCTGGCTTTTAGGGTAGCCTAGGCATTGAACCTGGCATCCCGTATGGCCTCAGTCAGCTGAGTAGCAGCCTTTACTGGTACGTGCCATTTGCAGCTGGGCTTAGAGTAATTTTTCAAAACAGAAATCTGATTATGTGTCTTGCTTTAATAAAAGACTTTAATTTTTTTTTTTTTTTGGAGAGGTTTTTGCTATAGGGCGTGTGCGCTCGCCAGACAGACAAAGAGAGACAGAAAGACAGAAAGCGAGAAATCACCCCCCCAGAGGGGATGGTCACACTGCAATCCCTCCTCCTCCATTCTCCTCCCGGGATCTTGGGTACGCACACACACGCGCCCGGCGTGAGTTTTAAGCCACCGGGTCCGGGACGCGAACCGCGGTCAACTACGTGGGAGTCCAGCGACATAGCCATTACGCTAACTGCTGGTTCCCTAAAAGACTTTAATTTTCTTCAAATTACTTTTAGGATAGAGATGCAGCCTGTAAGGTCCAGCATGGTCTGGTGACACCCTTCCTTCTCTCTAGGTTTTTGTTTTAGTTTTGTTCTAGGGTGAGTGTACTCATCAGAGACAGAGAGTGAGAAATCACCCCCCCCAGGGGATCACTACACCATGATCCCTTCTCTTCCATTCTCCTCTTGGGATTTTGGACATGCACACACATATGCCCAGTGTGATTTTCAAGCTGCCAGGTCTGGGATTCGAACTGCAGTTGGCCACATGGGATCTGGCTTTCAGTGCATAGTGCTTAACCACTCTACCACA